TTGACGACGACGAATGGGAGGAGCTAACCGAGAGGGCGGGGTGGGGGCTGCGGTCCTCGAACGAAATGAGCTGACCCTTCAGCTTCTCCACGGACTTGCGCAGCTTCTTCGGCGGTGTCTGGTAGTGCGTGTCGGACACCTGCGGGGGGGAGCACGCTCGCAGACGAGAGACGACCGAAGCGACGCACGCGAATCCCAACCAAATCCCAACTAATTGGGATTTGTGTTGGGATGTGTCGCGTCGCTACTGCGACTGCGATCTCGCATGCGTCACCCACAAAACATCTGGTGATTCCCAGTGCCCACCTTGGGGCACACGCCACTCGCTGCCCAGGGCAGCGTCTCCTTGTCGTTCTCCGTGATCGTGCCCGCCGATGTCGCCTCCTCCTGCACCGCCGCCGCCGCTGCGATGTCCACTGCCTGGGTGGCTGGGCGCGGCGCAGACCACCATCCCTGGCCGTCCGCTCCGCTGCTGGCCGACAGTGCGTGTGCCTGAGCGCCAGCCCCACCTCGCACATCCCACGAGTGCGACGCGCTGGGGTCGGGCTTGTCCTCATCATCGGCGGCGCCCTTGCCCTTCCTGCTGAAGTCTCGGCGGCTTCGCGCCGTTGCCTCTTGCAGCTCATGTTCTTCTCGGGCCGTCATCTGATCCTCCATCTGCTTCGACGCGATCGACTCCGCGATCACAGTGGCCTCATCATCCGACTTCTCAGTCGCAGCCACGACAGACGAGTCGATGATCTCGACGGCGTCATCCTTCTCCGCTGCCGTGGGGTTCGGTGCGCAGGGAGGCTGCTCATCATCGCTCATGTCGACAGCGGTCTGTCGCTCGAGCTCCACGCCCCGCTGCTGCGCGGCGTCATCCGCCGCGCCCTGGGCTGACGGAAGGGGCGCAGACGCCATCAGCGCCTGACCGATCGGAGTGTCCCAACACTCGGCAGGCGTCGCTGATAGCCACACGATCTTCTCAGACATCTCGCGCCCAAATGGCCACGAGGAAATGGCGAGGCGGAACAGGGGGAGGACGCATAACGGGAAGCGGAGGCAGGGGGAGAAGGGATGATGGTGAGGAGGAGGATGAGGAGGATGAGGAGGAGGATGATGAGGATGAGGAGGATGGAGGAGGAGGAGGAGGAGGAGGATGAAGAGGAGGAGGAGGAGGACGAAGATGAGGAGGAGGACGCGGATGAGGAAGAGCAGGGGAAATAGAAGAACGAGACGAAATACCAGGAGGCAGATGAGGGGGAGAAGGACGAGGAGGATGAGGAGGAGGAGGCAAATGAAGACAGGGATGATGATGATGAGGGGGATGAGGAGGAGGAGGAGGAGGATGAGGAGAAGGAGGAGGATGATGAGGCTGGCGAGGATGAGGAGGAGGAGGAGGACGAGGAGGAGGAGGAAGAGGAGGAGGAGGAAGAGGAGATGAGATGAGAGGAGAGGAGAGGAGGAGAGAGGGGTGGAGAGGAGGATGAGGAGGAGGAGGTATGCAGATGAGGAGGAGGATGAGGAGGACGAGGAGGAGGAGACGGAGGAGGATGGAGGAGGTGAGGAGGGACGAGGAGGACGGGGAGGACGAGGAGAGGGAGAACGAGTCGGAGGAGGAGGAGGAGGAGGGGTAGGAGGAAGAGAAGGAGGAGGAGGAGGAGGAGGAGGAGGAGGGAGGCGGAGAAGGAGGATGAGGAGGAGGAGGAGGAGGAGGGAGGAGGAGGAGGAGGAGGAGGAGGAGGAGGAGGAGGAGGAGGAGAAGGAGGAGGAGGAGGAGGAGGAGGAGGAGGAGGAGGGGGGGGGGGAGGATGAGCAGGAGGAGGAGGAGGAGGAAGGAGGAGGGGCGTGAGGAGGAGGAGGAGGAAGAGGAGGAGAGGAGGATCTCGAGAAGGAGGAGGAGGAGGGGGAGGAGCAGGAGAGAAGGAGAAGGAGAAGGAGAAGAGAAGGAGGAGGAGGAGGAGGAGGAGGAGGAGGAGGAGGAGGAGGAGGAGGAGGAGGAGGATACGGAGCACTGGCGGCAGGGGTGGGGGAAGGGACGGAGGACGAAGGCGACGGCGAGCTGACGGGAAACGGAAAAGGAGAGGCGGGGCACACCACAGGGGAAAGAGCTGAGGGAGGGATGGACGGACGGAGGTACGGAGGGACAGATGGGATGGGGGAGGACGACGACGGCGGCGAAAGGAAGAGGGAAGGCGCAGAAACAAGAGCAGGAACAGGGGCAGGAGCAGGAGCAGGAGAGACGAGAGAGACAAAAACGAAGTTGAAACCTCATCCTTGCACCTCCTCCTCCTCCTCCTCCCCATACTCCTCCCCTCCTACTCCTCATGTTCCTCTCCCCTCCTCCTCTTTTCTCATCCCCTCCTCCTCTTCTCCTCTTCTCCTCCCCTCCTCTTCCTCCTCCTCCTCCTCCTCTTCCTCCCCCTCCTCCTCCTTCTCTCCTTCCTCCTCCTCCATCCCCTCTCCTCCTCCCTATCCTCCTCCTCCTCCTCCTCTACCTCCCTCCTCCTCTCCCTCCTCCTCTCCTCTACTCCTCCTCCTCCTCCTCTCCTCCTCCTCCTCCTCCTCCCCTCCTCCTCCTCCTCCTCCTCCTCCTCCCTTTTTTCTTGTGGTTCCCTACGAGGAGGTTTTTTTTTTGTTTTTTTGTAAAGCGGCTTGGGATCTAGTGCGCGCATCGGTCGGCGTGCAAGTATAACGCGCGCACCAGCGCGTATACCGTGCTGGGGCTGCGCATTCGGATTTCCCGATCACTTTTTGCAGCGCTCTGGCGCATCTCCGATCACTTTTTGCATCGTCCATATACAAAACTCAACGTTTTTGGCTCGATCCCGGAGAGGGATCGGGAGACCCTCTGGGTTCTTAATCATCATATTCTTCATATCCCCCCTCATAGTATGCTCCTCCTCGTCCTTGTCATTGTACTCGCCCTCCCTTCCTCCACCCTGCTAGTATATTCAAGTAGCTTACGCCATTCCACCGATCACCAGGAGGAGCGAGAACTCGAGATGAACGTAGAAATTACCCATCATTCGGACGAACCCGCTGCCGTGCCTGGGCAGTGGATTATACAGAAGTCTTTCCGATGTGCGCGAGGGTCGTTCGGGATGCTTCTAGGGGGGCTCTGAGAGGGTTCCTGGTTCCACATGTGGGGAGTTCGGTGGCCTCTTGGGGCCTCTTGGGGGCCTCCTGATGGCTTCTCGGAAGGTCGCTGGGGCCCCCAGGGTGTTTTTCGGACACATCTGGGGGTTTCTCGGAACCATCGCGAGGGGGAACGTTCGATATTCAGGTTCGTATTCCCTCTCTCGGCCCCTCCTTGGGGGCCCTCTTCGGGCGTCTTGCGGGCCCTTTGGCTGGGCGTTCGGTGGAACTCACCGTTGGGCCGCGGGGCGTGTAGGCCGCGCGCCGACACTTTCGGTTGCGGCGCGTGCGAGCCTTGCCGCGGGGCCTTGAGCGGAGCACCCCATATTGGACAGCGAAACGCGTGAGGAGGGCGCCGACGCGGGCGGAGGGCGCGCGCGCGAGCCCCGCCAGCGCGGGCGTCGGTGGAAGCTCTATCTTGGGCCACGAAACGAATGAGGGGCGTGCCAAAATGGCGGCGGGGGCGCGCGCGATCCTTGCCACTGGGGGGTTCGGGGGGTGGGCCTGTCATGGGGCGGCGTTCCAGTGATGAGCCATCGGGCATCAACGGCGTGGACGAATGCCAACCCTGCCATTGGAGCCTTCAGTCGGCGCCCCCCCCACGGGGCCGCGATGCGCGCGATGCGCGCACCGAACAAACAAGCAGGTTGGCGAGCCATTTCCCCACATAGCTGCTCGATCTTGAGATCCTCAGGGAATGGCTCAGGGTTTGGTTCGTATTGTCCCAAAGTGTATCGAAACATGCCGTTGGCATTCGCCTGGGAAGCACTAGCGCACAACTCGTGCGAAACGGTGCGCCGCGAGCGAGGCGATGTATAGTTAGGTAGCTGCAACGAAACGAGGGCGCGACGGGGTAAGATGAGGAGGAGTGCCGTGCGTGGGGTGACAAAGTGCAGCTTTAAACTTCGTGTGCTGTACTTCGTCGCGCCACGTGTGCCTCCCTTCTCTTCTGAACCCCGTCGCCTCATCGCATAGTGGCTTGGACGCCTTCTCTATGCGTCATCATGCTTGCGACGCACCGCTTCGCGAGGCTCGCACGATATATTTTTCTTCGTGGGCGGCTGAGCAATTTTCTTGAGCTTCCACAAGCAATTCAAAACCAATTCAAAAGCAATTTTCTTGGTTTTCCACAAAGGAGGTGTTATAGAGTGAAGAGACATCTCAACCCTCCCCCTCCCCCTCCCCCTCCTCCTCCTCCTCCTCCTCCTCCTCCTCCTCCTCCTCCTCCTCCTCCTCCTCGGGTCGCCTACGGCCCTGGGGGAAACCGTGCATGGAGGGGTGAGGAAGCAAGTGAGTTATTGTTCGAAGCATCCATCGGTTAGCCAAAGCAGCTGCGAGTAGCGCAGGGTATGGCCCTCATAGGCAGCGCGCAGCGAAACGGAAGAAGCTTCTTGTGCCTGTAGGGCCACGAAGCGAAGGGGGTTGCCGAAATGGGCGGGGTGAGGTACCGAAATGGGCCAGAGGGGGGGGGCGCGTGCAAGATCTTGCCATTGAGGCATTCGGTGAGCTCCATGTGGGGCCACGAAGCGCGTGATGTGTTCGCCGACATGGACACGCGGAGTGCAGAGGAATGATGATGATGATGATGAGGAGGAGGAGGAGGAAGGGGGAGGTAGGAAGGAGGTGGGGCGCGGCGCTACGAGGACCCAACACCCTGGATACTTGGGGAACAGTGCGGGAAATAGCATGGTATCTGTGATGCCACTTTTCATGTTGATGCATTTGTGATAACGAGTTTCGATTGATCCGCACACATCAATGATTAGCACGCTTGCCGGAATACTCGATTGCTGACAAAACATCCTCGGTATAGACATTCGTAGGAAGCCATGGAGACAGGTAAATTATAGCAAGACCGTGCATTCCTGAAGAATAGTCAGGACGAGTCGTTTCCATCGATTCGTTCGGCTCTGAGCTGCATGCATTGACGATGCCAACCGCCGCGCTCCACTAGAGAGCCAAAAGCACGCTATCGGTGAAGACCCTACGCGCGCGAGACGGCACCTCTCAACCAGCAAGGTGAGCGTTACGAACAGAGCAGGTCCGTGTTTTCGCACGCGCGCAGCTGCCTTCTTCGTGCTTGGCGCTGACGCGCGTGACCTCACAGGCTGCTGACGTTGGCTTGCTGTGGGGGTAATTGTTTGTACCGCGAGCCGCGAGCCGTGGATAAACAGGTGGATCTCTCCCCACGGGCTGCGGCCAGATCTCCTCCCTGGCCCGTCTCCCTCGCATGTGTTGATCTGCGTGGACATAAATCAAAGCATACACAAACACGCAAACACATACATACATGCATGCATACATACATACGCACATACATACATACACACATGCATGCATGCATGCATGCATGCATACATACACACATACATGCGTACATGCATACATGCATGCATACATACATACATACACACATACATACATACATACATACATGCATGCATGCATGTACACATAAAAATAGACATACATACATACATACATACATACAGACATACATACATACACACATACATAAATAGTTGCATCCATACCTGCATACATTATACATACATACGTACATACATCCATACATACATACATACATACATACAAACAAACAAACAACCATGCATACACACACATACATACATGCATGCATGCATACAGACACACACATACATACATACATACATACATACATACATACATACATACATACATACATACATACATATCGTTTTATATATATGGATTGCAGTTCCTTGCGCCATACGCCATTACATTGCACCACATGTCACGGTATCAGTTTACACTGAACTACAGTGTAATGCACCCCCAGTACGTTGCATTCCATGTTTTTCCAATTCCATTACGCTATGTTACGTCGTAGTGCGCTACGTTACGTTAAGCAAAGTTATATTATATCGAACTGCAGCACATTCCACCGCATTACATTACATCGTACTAGCTTAAATCCATTACGTTGCGTTACACTACACTACTGTGGCGAAGGACCCAAGCATATGCAGTTGTGACTGGGTCAATTGTTGGTACCGTCGTCGGTGGAGCTCCTTATGGGGCACGAGATGTCTGAGGGGTGTGCCAGCAGGGGCGCGGTGGTGTCAGGCGGGCGCAACCACTGGGGCCTTCGGTGGAGCTCCCCATGGGGCCACGAAGCGTGTCAGGGGTCTGCCGACATGGGCACGGTGGTGCCATGCGAGCGCAGCCACTGGGGCCTTCGGTGGAGTTCCTTGTGGGGCCACACAACGTGTGAAGGGCATGCCGACATGGGTGCGGCTGTGTCATGCGAGCGCAGCCACTAAGGCCTTCGGGAGAGCTTTCCATGGTGCCACGAAGCGTGTGATGGGGCGTGCCGACATGGGTGCGACGGTGTCATGCGAGCGCAGCCAGTGGAATTTTCGGTGGACTTCCCCATGGGGCCACGAACCGTGTGAGAGGTGTACGGACATGTGTGCGGCGGTGTCGTGCGAGCGCAGCCACTGGGGCCTCCGGTGGAGCTCCTGATGGGGCCACGGAACGTGTGAGGGGTGTGCCGACATGGATTCGGTGGTGTCGTGCGAGCGCAGCCGCTGGGGCCTTCGGTGGAGCTCTTTGCGGGCCACGAGGCGTGTGAAGGGTGTGCGACATGGGTGCGGTGGTGTCATGTGAACACAGCCATTGGTGCATTCGGTGGAGCTCCCTATGGTGCCACGAAACGCGTGAGGGCTGTGCCAACAGGGGCGCGGTGATGTCATGCGAGCGCAGCCACTGGGGCCTTCGGTGGAGTTCACCATGGGGCCACGAACCGTGTGAGGGGCGTGCCGAAATTAGTGCGGTGGTGCGATGCGAGCGCAGCCACTGGGGCTTTCGGTGGAGTTCCTTGTGGGGCCACAAAACGTGTGAATGGCGTGCCGACGTGGGTGCAGTGGTGTCATGCGCGAGCGCAGCCATTAGGGCCTTTGGTGAAACGCCCTATGGTGCCACGAAGCGTGTGAGGGGCGTGCCGACATGGGTGCGGTGGCGTCATGCGAGCGCAGTCGCTGGGGCCGTCGGTGGAATCCCCCATGGGTCCACGAAAGGTGTGCCGAAAGGTGCGGTGGTGTCATGCGAGCGCAGCCACTGGGGCCTTCGCTGGGGCGCCCTATGGGGCCACGAAGCGTGAGAGGGGTGTGCCGAAACAAAGACACGCGGAGGGCATAGGCGAGGAGGGGAAGGAGGGTGGGGAGGAGGAGGAGGAGGAGGAGGAGGAGGAGGAGGAGGAGGAGGAGGAGGAGGAGGAGGAGGAGGAGAGGAGAGGAAAACACGGGGCGCCGTCTTTCAAAACGAGGACCCAACACCACAGGATGGTTGGGAATTCCATTATACGACATTACAATACTTTCCATTACGTTACATCACATTACATTACATTACATTACGCTACATACATGCGTGCGTGCGTGCGCGCGTTCACCGCTACATACATACATACAGACACCTATCAGTTTTCCGTCGCGGCGCGGCAAAGGCGATCCGTTCACGCGTGGAGAGACCGTGCTGCGGATTTGCTAATTACCCGCATGCAAGAGTGAAGGAGTGGGGAGGAGAGGACGGCCGCGGAGGAAGGGGCGGGACGCGGGGGCACTCTCACGCGGCGGGTCCGCGGGGAGCGCGCGCGGCGGCTAGGCTGAAGAGCGACCCCTGGCAGCGGTGCGGGGCGGCGTCGTGGGCGCACCCAGGGACGGGGCCAGCAGCCGCAGTGCGGGCGAAGCCCAGCAAGTGGGGGGGGCGTGAGCAGCAGGCGGCCGGCGGACCGGGGCGCAGGGGCGGGGGTGCGGGGGAGGCACCAGCAGAGGCGCGCGGCAGCGGGCAAAGGAGCGCCGTGCGGCCGGCGCTGATCAGGCGATCGCAAACATGGACCAAGGGGGCGTGGATTAGCAACGGGCCCCGTTTCCATTATAAATCAAGGTTTTCCGCCGCCGAACGAGGCGGCACCGATCCATGGATTTGGTGACCGCGCGCCAAATCCATGGATCGCTAATCCATGTTAGCGCGCCCCCGAGCTAAAGCAGCGCCAGGAGGCAGACCCGCAAGGCGCTGCGGGTCGAGCAGCGCCGTGGCAAGGCGCCACTGGCTGGCCAGGCGGGGCAGGCCGCGCAGGGGCTAGGTGGCGAAGATGGAGGGCGGAGAAGCAAACGCCATCCCAAAGCCGGCGCACGCATCCCAGCCTGGGGCAGGGCGGCACCCAATGCAAATGGACCGCTGGCGTGGGCTCCCACCCGGGGGAGGCCACAACGGGGGGAGAGCCGCTACGCGGCGCCCCCCAAATGCGGCAGCGACAGCTGCCGGCAGGGGCGGCGGCCACCTGCAGAGCCCAGGGGGCGGGGGGCCGGACGCACCACCCGCCGGGTGGAGGGCGGCGCCGCGTGCCAAGGGAACGCGGGCGCAGGCTCATGGCGGGGAGGCGAAAACGGGAAGCGAGCCGCAAAGGCGGAGACCCCCAAGCATTGCAGTGCGTGCTGCCAGCAAGGGCGGGGCCAACCTGCACAGCCTAGGGGGTGTGGGGGGCAGCCACGACCAGGCAGCGGCACGGAGCGCCGGCGCGCATCGGCGAACGCGGGGGGGAGGCGGGGCACACACCACGCACACAACCACACACACATACACACATACGCACATACAACATGTTTTAAAGCCGGCGGCGCAGAGGAACCTCACGCGCGGTTGGCAGGTGGAGGTGCTAATTGCGAACGAATATGCACACACACACACACACACACACGCACGGGCGATCAGTTCCCACACTTTGCCGACGTCGGGTGCGTTCCAGCCCTCCCTCCCGCAACACGAGGCTTTCCGCAACGCTTTCAAGGCGAGCAACCAGCACATCAGCGAGGACCGGGGGGGGGCATACAGCGAGCACGTGGGGGGGCGTTCGGGGTCCCCTTGGTGTTGCCCTCGGCTCCTCGAACGCATCGGCCTGTTAGGCTGCAACTCTTGGGAGGCTAAATTCAGCCTCGGCGCTGGTACACTCGCAGCCGCAGACCTGATGATTCCCATAGTTTCGTCCTGAATCCAGCTTCATCCCGCTGAATCCAAGGCTCAATCTGGCTTATATCCTGCTCAGTAGATCCTTAACCACCGGGCTTGGTATCATTTAGTCGTTTTTTGTTGCGAAGAACTCCCAAGACTTGCCTCCCAAGGCCTACCCAAAGCAAAGATGAGTTTCGGTGACTTGTCGGAGGCACCTCGCCGTTACTGCGTGGCTGCAACTGGCAGGGGATGGTGAAGAACATGGTCGCGATGGGCGGGCTGAGGAAGAGAGGCACTGGTTGGCAAGAGAGGTGGGGAAGAGAGGGGGGGGGCCAGGCGGATGATGAGGAGCAGGAAGAGGAGCCGATGCAGGAGCAGAGGGCAGGAAGCAGGAGGAGGAGATCGAAAACTGCGGGGACGAAGCAACTGCTGAGCGATAGCGGCAGGCCCGAAAGCTTCTACCGGCACGGCTTTTTTCTGTGCCGGTACAAAAAAGAAGAAGCGGAACGACGAGAAATCGGAAACGGGGAAAGCCCAGAGAGTGGTGTTTCCGCACGCTGCCCGGATGCGAGGGTTTGTGGGCGGGACACGCATCCATATCTACAGCTTCGAAGTCGTGATTCTTGGGCCGCGACCCACTGAATGCAGGGCGGCCTTGCTCGGATGCCCTGACGGAGCATATCGATGGATCGCTTATCCAAAGTATCGCGCTTCTGCTATCCAGACCGCGAGGTTATGAATGTGGATGTTGCTCTTGTCAAACGTTTTGCTGTGTACGGTCTGACCAAGGTATAAGATCGAGGTCGGTTCGGGGAGGATGCACTCATGTTCTTCGTGCTTGTTGGATTTTCTTGTGCGTCCTTGGGGAGGGGACCCTCGAGTGCTCTTATGGTTTCGGTTGGCTTGGCCGGCGGACGGTCTCATGTTCTCGAAGGATGTGTTTTCTGTCCTATGTCCGATTGTTAACTACATCACGTGGAAGTTTTGCGGTCGGTTTTTTTTCTGGGGAAGGCGCCGATTGCGGCCGGATCCTGGTCCCCCGATGGGGCACCGAGCCTTGTGCTCCCCGTTTTCTCTCTCTCTCTCGTGTGAGAAACGCCGTCTTCGAGAGTCCATGCTAAGGCGCACGCGCGTGTTCTTCTCACGCGAATCTTGATGTGAAGGCTTCGATCAAAGAAGCCATGGATTCGGCTTGCGTCGGGCACCCGGTTTCCTGCTTTGTATGGGACGGGGAGGGCCGGGCGGACAGCGACGACGACGGCGAGGAAGGCGACGAGGGCGAGGGGAGGAGGAAGAGGATGCCGACAAGGGGGCGGATGGCCAGCACCCCCATCGGTCCGATCGGCCAACGCCAAGAACAATGGCAGACCGACGTGTAGGGAGACAGGCCGTGCTCCTACGTTGCAACTTCGGAGATCTACCTCATCTGTATTGTGAATGGCGGTCTTTCCGTGTGTTCGACGCCGGTTCGGCGCAGACTCGACGCGGCTTCGGCGCCAGAGGCGACGCATTGAGACAGGCCAGGTTCTCCGAGGATGCAAGATGCTGGCATCGCTCGCAGGTGTGCGTTTCGTGTGCGTTCTGCTGCGTTTGTGCATGGCTCCGCGCGGGTCCATGCGGGCCGCTCTGGCGGAGCCGTGAGAAATTCGACCGCCCCCTGCAGCCCTCGCAAACACGCACACACACACAAACGCACACACACACACACACACACACACACACACACACACACACACACACACACACACACACACACACACACACACACACACACGCACACACAGGCGCACACACCCTCGCAGGCACACACACACACAGGCACACACACCCTCGCAGTCAGCGGAGCAGCCGGGCCCACGTGCGTCGGGCAGCGGGCCGCAGCTCGGAGGGGGGCCGCAGGTCTCGAGCGGAGACCCGGGGGCGCAGGGAGCGCCGGTGCCGCCGGGCGAGGCCACGGGCCGACGCGGGCCGAGGGCGTCGGCGGCAGGACGACGCGGACAAGCGCACGAAGCAGAGCCCCGAATCATCAGGGGTAACTCGGGTCAGGGCTACCCGAGTTTCGGGCCGGACGAGAGGGGGGGATTGGGAAAGGGGGGGTTACGAAATTTGCTGCATGCAGCTGGTTTCGGCCTCACCGAGGGGCCCATTCCTCGATACATGGGCGCCTCCTGGCGCCGGGAGGCGCCAGGAAAATCAGCTACGTGAGCTGATTCTCAACCCCCCCCTTTGCTATCCCCCCCTTTCGCCCGACCCGAGAGTTACCCCGGACCCGAGTTACCCCGGATAATTCGGGCGTCCAGAGCCCCAAATCATCAGGGATAACTCGGGTCAGGGCTAACTCGGGTTCGTTTTTCGGGAATCCGAACCCGAGTTACCCCGGATAATTCGGGCGTCCAGAGCCCCAAAGCATCAGGGGTAACTCGGGTCAGGGCTAACTCGGGTTCGTTTTTCGGGAATCCGAACCCGAGTTTCGGGCCGGACGGATTGCGAAAGGGGGGGTTACGAAATTTGCTGCATGCAGCTGGTTTCGGCCTCACCGAGGGGCCCATTCCTCGATACATGGGCGCCTCCGGCGCCGGGAGGCGCCAGGAAAATCAGCTACGTGAGCTGATTCTCAAACCCCCCCTTTGCTATCCCCCCCTTTCGCCCGACCCGAGAGTTACCCCGGACCCGAGTTACCCCGGATAATTCGGGCGTCCAGAGCCCCAAATCATCAGGGATAACTCGGGTCAGGGCTAACTCGGGTTCGTTTTTCGGGAATCCGAACCCGAGTTACCCCGGATAATTCGGGCGTCCAGAGCCCCAAAGCATCAGGGGTAACTCGGGTCAGGGCTACATAACTCGGGTTCGTTTTTCGGGAATCCGAACCCGAGTTTCGGGCCGGACGAGAGGGGGGGATTGGGAAAGGGGGGGTTACGAAATTTGCTGCATGCAGCTGGTTTCGGCCTCACCGAGGGGCCCATTCCTCGATACATGGGCGCCTCCTGGCGCCGGGAGGCGCCAGGAAAATCAGCTACGTGAGCTGATTCTCAAACCCCCCCTTTGCTATCCCCCCCTTTCGCCCGACCCGAGAGTTACCCCGGACCCGAGTTACCCCGGATAATTCGGCCGTCCAGAGCCCCAAATCATCAGGGATGACTCGGGTCAGGGCTAACTCGGGTTCGTTTTTCGGGAATCCGAACCCGAGTTACCCCGGATAATTCGGGCGTCCAGAGCCCCAAAGCATCAGGGGTAACTCGGGTCAGGGCTACATAACTCGGGTTCGTTTTTCGGGAATCCGAACCCGAGTTTCGGGCCGGACGAGAGGGGGGGATTGGGAAAGGGGGGGTTACGAAATTTGCTGCATGCAGCTGGTTTCGGCCTCACCGAGGGGCCCATTCCTCGATACATGGGCGCCTCCTGGCGCCGGGAGGCGCCAGGAAAATCAGCTACGTGAGCTGATTCTCAAACCCCCCCTTTGCTATCCCCCCCTTTCGCCCGACCCGAGAGTTACCCCGGACCCGAGTTACCCCGGATAATTCGGGCGTCCAGAGCCCCAAATCATCAGGGATAACTCGGGTCAGGGCTAACTCGGGTTCGTTTTTCGGGAATCCGAACCCGAGTTACCCCGGATAATTCGGGCGTCCAGAGCCCCAAAGCATCAGGGGTAACTCGGGTCAGGGCTACATAACTCGGGTTCGTTTTTCGGGAATCCGAACCCGAGTTTCGGGCCGGACGAAAGGGGGGGATTGGGAAAGGGGGGGTTACGAAATTTGCTGCATGCAGCTGGTTTCGGCCTCACCGAGGGGCCCATTCCTCGATACATAGCCGCCTCCGGCGCCGGGAGGCGCCGGGAAAATCAGCTACGTGAGCTGATTCTCAAACCCCCCCTTTGCTATCCCCCCTTTCGCCCGACCCGGAGTTACCCCGGACCCGAGTTACCCCGGATAATTCGGGCGTCCAGAGCCCCAAATCATAGGGATAACACGGGTCAGGGCTAACTCGGGTTCGTTTTCTGGAATCCGAACCCGAGTTACCCGGATAATTCGGGGTCCAGAGCCCCAAAGTAATTCAGGGGTAACTCGGGTTAGGGCAAACTCGGGTTTCGTTTTTTCGGGGAATCCGAACCCGAGTTAGGGCCGGACGAGAGGGGGGGATTGGGAAAGGGGTGGGTTACGAAATTTGCTGCATGCAGCTGGTTTCGGCCCCGCCGAGGGGCCCATTCCTCGATACATGGGCGCCTCCGGCGCCGGGAGGCGCCGGGAAAATCAGCTACGTGAGCTGATTCTCAAACCCCCCCTTTGCTATCCCCCCCTTTCGCCCGACCCGAGAGTTACCCCGGACCCGAGTTACCCGGATAATTCGGGCGTCCAGAGCCCCAAATCATCAGGGATAACTCGGGTCAGGGCTAACTCGGGTTCGTTTTCGGAATCCGAACCCGAGTTACCCCGGATAATTCGGGCGTCCAGAGCCCCAAATCATCAGGGGTAACTCGGGGTCAGGGCTAACTCGGGTTCGTTTTTCGGGAATCCGAACCCGAGTTTCGGGCCGGACGAAAGGGGGGGATTGGGAAAGGGGGGGTTACGAAATTTGCTGCATGCAGCTGAGTTGGCCCTGACCCGAGTTAGCCCTGACCCGAGTTACTCCTGACCCGAGTTAGCCCTGACCCGAGTTACCCCTGATGATTTGGGGCTCTGGACGCCCGAATTATCCGGGGTAACTCGGGTCCGGGGTAACTCGGGCTCGGATTCCCGAAAAAGGAACCCGAGTTAGCCCTGACCCGAGTTACCCCTGATGATTTGGGGCTCTGGACGCCCGAATTATCCGGGGTAACTCGGGTCCGGATTCCCGAAAAACGAACCCGAGTTACCCCGGACCCGAGTTACCCCGGACAAGTCGGGCGCCCAAACGAAAGTACGCACGCGTGCACGAAGTCGCTTCCGCACGCGGCGGCAAGAGATGGCCGGCCCCCGCCTCGCGCAGGAGGCGCTGGAGGACCTCATCCTCTCCCTCGACGCCGACGGCACTGGCCAGCGGCCTCGGGTGCAATCGCCCGCGGGGGGGGGCCCAGGACCCATCGCTGCCCACCATGGTTGTCCCCATTGCCACCCGCCGCTTCCCCCAACATCCCCCAACCGCTGCCTGGGTTTGGGTTTTCTGCCGCGAGGTTGTCTTTTGTTCGTGGGTGTTGCAATGTGTGCTGCGGATGTTTTGCGAAGCTTCAGGTTTATGAGACGCGCAGCATGTTTTATCAGTTCGTGGAACTGGTAAGGTTTGAAGACGGAAAGAGTTTGATCTATGATATACAAGCACTAGTGTACTAGAGGCATACGATTGAATATCTCCCCCAAAGGGGGCCTCGACGTATTACGCGAGGGAGCTCTACTAATGCAATCTGGGGGCCCGAGCTTCTTCTTTAATCGTCACCCCCACCACATGCTCGTCGTCGGTCGTCGTCGTCGTCGGTCGGTCCGTCTGTCGGTCGGTCCGTCGTCGCCTTCGTCTTCGTTCTTCACTCATCGTCGTCGTCACTGTTGAGTGGGACAGGGACGTGGACCACACTATCCTCACAGTGCGCGCCTCTACTGCTGTGGCCAAGAATGCTGTGGCCGCGGCGTTGGCTCCATGGCTCACCGAGGCAAACGTCCCTCTCGGTGATGGTGTGGAGCTGCACGGAGATGATGTGGCGAAATCTTTTACTCTCGCGCTTCAAGGCCCCATGGAAGCAACCCGTACATCGAGGCGGAGTCAGGCCCAGCAACAACTCCGTCTCCCAGACGGATCTTGGCGTGCATTCCGTGTCGACGTGGGCACTGAGGCAGTGCCGCTGCACGTCTCCGCGGACAAGAACAAAAATATGGTGGCCACAGAAATTGCTTGCAAGAAGTTGCAACGATGTCTCGGTGACCGTGGCATCCGCACTTACCTCGACAAGGACAACGGCCAACTCTTGGCCAAATGGGAGCCATTGGTGCGCGTGCTCCCTTTACCTGCGAGCAGAACCCCCAAGGTGGAGTGGAATCTCTCCGCACTCGCGGACATCAGCCTGTCCAAGGAGGAGGCCAACGAGCTTGCTCGCCAGGGCTTCGACACACGTGAGGTACGGTGGAGTGGGTGACGAAGTGTTTGGTGTTGGCTTTTTGGTATTCACGACCTGGAACACGGGTGCCCTGTTACACTACAGACCAGCGATTTTGAGCAGGAAGCTCAGCTACCTGAGCAAACTGATGGGTGCTGGCAAAGTAGTGGCGCTACAGGAGATCCACGGTGGTGAACGTGCCATGGAAGAAGCTCTTAAACGAATTCGCTGTACGTCTCACAAATGCTTCGTCTCTGATTCGAAGATGCCTCGGACAGGAGGCGTCGCCACCCTCGTCCCGAATGACCCACGTGTTCGATCCAAGGGGAAGAGTTTCGTTGCTGGTCGGGTTCTGCTAGTTACCATACACAATTCAGAGGTAGACTTCACAATCTACCATTGGAACGTGCACAATTTTGCCCTTGACCCCGCCAGTTTGAAGGAGATTCAGGCTTGTATTCGGTCGCAACTACAGCGTGTGCGAGATCACCCCTTGAAGTGCACAGTTGTTCTCACTGGCGACTTCAACATCTCGGCGACGCCAATCGACCATCATCGTGGGGATGCTCACACCTGTACTCCAAGTTCATCAGGTCGTGGGGGGCAGGATTCAGCCCTGCAAAGTCACCACCCCACGACCACATGCTCTCCGCGTTCGGCGTCGTCTGCGACAACGATGGCCACATGTACTCCACCCTCTGGGCCATGGTTACCAAGTTCGACCTCTTCTTCGGTGTCTTCCTCTCCCTCCTCTCCCCCATCAGCGGCTTCCCCCAGTGCCGCGACTTCGGAAAGTACGCAGGGGAGGCCGTCTCTCTCAGCGTCGTCGCAAGCCAGTGTGGGCCAGCGTGGCGACCCGACCTTGCGGGTTGGCTCTACGCGGGCGCCCCGTCCTGGCGACTCGTACTGGCAGAAAATATTCGGGGAGATGACGGAGCTCGCTTCGGAGGCACCAACTCATTGGCACGCCTCGACTGCGTGTGATTCCAAAATCGATCGTCTCTTTGTCGCATCCCCGCCATGGCTTCTTTGTCAGTCTGCCCAGCTCGTTTCGGTCCGTGATGAACCGCGTGAGTTGGCCCACCGGGGTATTTCTGCTCACTCGCCTTTGGAGATCATCTGGCGCCCTCGGGATCATGCTAGAGCGAAACGCCAAAGGCCCCTTCCTCGTTGGGTGTACAAGGATAAGATTTACGCTCAGCTGGTCTCCCACATGGAAGCCCAGGCGCGGATGGAGGATCTTGCTTTTGACCCACCGCGCATGCTCGCTGCTGCTACTGCTGTTCGGCAGGCTGCAGGTCTTCTCGCACGCAATGCCATCTGTCGTGCAGCACCATCCTCTCTGACTTCTCGGGCCATGATTTCCCGTTCGATTGCACGGTGTGTCTGGCGGAATGGCGTTCGTCTTGCCCGAGTTCTTCTCTTCCAGCACCCCTGGACACAGAGTCTCATATGTGTTGATGGTGAGGTTGTTTCTTTCATTGATCCTGGAGGCTTTCATGATCTCCATAGTCTGTGGCAACAGCAGGAAGCAGAATCTCGTCGAAAAGCGCTTGGGTCAGAGCTCAACCAGTCGTCGTCTACCACGGTCAAAGCTCGTCTTGCAGGGCGTCGTCGTGCGATAATTCGGTCTGCCCAATTATGGAATCCGCTTTCTCGTCGTAAGTACTTAGCTTCGGTCACGGCCACAGAGATGATCTCGATTTCGGAGATGCTGGCGGGTGGCTCACTGGCATCGGAACTAGTTCCTCCCTCCCAGGCCCCAATGGTGGACGCATTGGCCTCATACTGGGGCCCCGTGTTCTCCAAGACCCACTCGGTCCCCTCCATCGCCAAGAAATACATCGACCGATCCAGCAGTTCAGAGGACCTCTCAGAGGTTCGGCCACCCGTCCTTCGTGATGTGGAGCGCGCACGTGCACAGTCAAACTGGTCCGCCCCTGGCCCCGATGGGCTTCACTACGCGGCCTGGAGGCGTGGCTCGGGGTCTCGGGTTCTTCTTGAAGTTCTCCGCTGGATTGCTCTTGGGAATCTCATGCCATCCAATTTCGCAGCGTTGCTGGCCGTCTTCCCCCCCAAGGACCCCAAGTCCCCCTCCCATGATCCTGATGATGGTGGCGTTGTTCGGGCCCCTGGGGATGCCCGCCCGCTGGGGCTCAAGAACTCCTCGAACAAAGTGGCGCGCAGCGTGCTGGACCAGACTCTGAGCTGGATTGCGCAGAAGATTGGGGCCCCATCCCAGAGAGGCTTTATTCGGCGGCGCAACTTTCTGGATAACATTGTCGATTTGGACCTTTACGCTCGATCGGCTAGTATTACGGCTGCTGTATCATCCCAGGCTCCGCCGTTGATCGCGTTCGACTTCGCCCAGGCCTTCCCGTCGGTCTCCCAGGATTGGCTCTTCCAATGTCTCGCCCGCCTTCGCATTCCAGCCCCTCTGGTTCGCGCTCTCCGCTCCCTCTACCACTGCGCCCCCTGTTGCTTCGTTGGCGACTCCCCGACGTACCTATGCCACATGAGCTCAGGGGTGCTTCAAGGCTGTCCGTTGAGCGGCTCACTGTATGTAGTCGCGAGCAACCCGTTCCTCCTGGACCTGGAACACTGTTTGGTAGCACGCGGGCGTCTTCTGGGTGTCGTTCGTGCCTGTGCGGACGATCTTGGGGCGGTCCTCTTCCACAACAGAGCGCGCCCACGGTTGGCTCGAGTATTTCGACACGCTTCGAGGTTTGCTCAGCTACGTCTTAAGCCTGCAACATGCAATGTGATACCTCTTCGTGACCCTTCTATGCTCGAACACGGAACCTTACTTTGACGCCAACTTGTGAGTGCCGACCCGTCTTGGGCAGATTTCGCGATCGTTTCTGCTTGCACTTATCTTGGCTTTCAGATCGGACCTGGGGCCACGGATGACAGTCAATGGACGACCCCAGTGCTCAAGCACGCTACTCGCGCCACCGCGATCTCGACGCAGGGCGCTAATCTCCCCACGGCCGCAACACTGCATCGACAGAGAGCCGCTCCCACGCTGTCTTACGTGGCCCAGCTGGTTCCCCTACCTTGGCGAGTCGGGCAACAGCAGCGATTCCTTCTTGCCCGCATCATGCGCACTCCCGCCAGTATGTTACGGACCGCTGACTGCTTTGCCTTGCACACGGTGAATGGCCCGAAGTTCAGCTCTATCTTCTGTATCGCTGCTGCCGCTCGACTCCGTGCGGCCTTGGTCACGTGTGCAACATGGCGCTCTCAGTTGCAGCGACATCGTGACCTTCTCTGGGAATATGGCACGTTCTCCCAGGCTACCAGTGCTACCTTGGCTCCGAGCTTCTGGTCCGCGCCACCTTTTGCCTGCCGCTTGGAAGAGGCAGCGCTGGGCTTTCCGTCATGTCCACAGCTGAGAACTGGTGGGCAAATGGCTTTGAGCCTCTGGCGTGCTGGGAACACATCCGTCCCCGAGGAGGTGATCGAGTTCTTTCGTGCTGAGCCCAACCCCACGGATCTCCCATGGAGCCTTGCCCGTCGTGTTGCAGTTCCGTCCGAAGCTCACGCTGCACCACTACTCAGAGCCCCCAAGTGGCAGGCCTCCTTCACCGACATCTTCCAGCGCGCAGTGTTTCCTGACAGACTTCTGGAGCTACTCGCCGCCCGCGTTCAGCGGCACTTCGGAATCCGTGATGTTTGCTGGCCCACAGTCCTCAGCCAACTGCATCTTATGCCAGCATCTTGGGCATTCATTTGCGCGCGGTCGTACCTCGGAGGATGGATCACCCACCGCCGTATGCAGCGCGAGGCGTGGTGTATATATGGATGTGGCGGTCCTGACACTATGCGGCATTATCTGACGGAGTGTGATCGGTGCTTTCATTTCGGTGCCCTCACCCTGCGTGAAGATCTCCCAGTCGAGATTGGACATCGACTTGGGCTACGAGGACCAACTCCAACCTCTCTAATAGCCTGCTATCACCACTTTCGCCTGATGGCAGCGCGGCACAGTACCTCTCCGTCCTATGCTCGTGCTCTGGAGCTGGTCCCCGCGGCGCAGATCGCCCTGGGACTCCCATTGCGTGGTCGGCATCAGCTGGCGCTTCTTCGGCGCGCCACCTTGCGTGAGTCCCTCGAGGCAGCCCGCCGATTCTGTGAAGTGGTTGACCCCACGAGTGAGGCTCGGGGCTCAGAGGTAGTAGGGTTTCCATCGCTTGCGTCGCCTCTGCCATCTCTCCCTTTGCCCCCTCATGATCCCACTTCTGTGCTCGGACCCTGTCGCGTTGACAGGCTCATCTCATATCGCTTTGTTGATTATGACATGCCTCGCAATCCTGTGGGGATCAGGGTACTCACTGCTGAAGAGCAGGCCTCATATGCAGGCGTGTCCCAGACTCCCGTATTGTTGGAGTCAGCGCCTCCCCTCCCTCGATCCTCTCGCCCCGATGATGCGCCCCTCCATCTCGACCTCATCCCATTTCGCTTTGTTGACTATGATGTGCCACGCAATTGCGCAGGGATCAGAGTACTCTCTGCTGCTGAGCAGGCCTCATATGCAGGCCCGTCCCAGGCAGGCTCTGCTGCCTCCAGTGCCGCCGGGGTGCGTCACCTTCATCGAGGAGGCACCTGCGGCCTGCTCACGGGGCATCCGCTTCGCGTCGTCCGTCCTCCGTCGTCGCCCCGCCGTCGACTCCACCGGGCCTGCGTAGCACCCCCTCCCCTCCACGGGGTATCCGCAGTGCGTCGTCGCCGCTGTCGTCGTCGTCGTCGCGCCCTGGGAGGGTCGCTGTTGCCAGGGGTGCCTTTGACCAGCCCGAATCACCACCCCCGCCGCTCCGAAGTGTCAGCCCTCGGAGCTCTCGGCCTCCCGGGCGGCCCCCCGGGGGCCAGCCCGAGTTGTCAGCCCTCCGTCGGCCAATCTCCCTGGCCGGTGATCCGGGGGGCAACGAGGCCAACGTTTTTTTGTTCATCACCCTCAAATGTTGGCTCACTTGTTTTCCCCATCGCCGTATTGTGGTAGAGTGTGGTCAGCAGCGTGGACTCCAAGCAGCATTTTCTTGCAACGTGTGCTTGGTGTTATAGGTGGTGCAATTCAGCGTGGTGCTCGGTGCAATCTAGGTGGTGCAACCCACTTTGTGCAAGACACGTGGTGCAGAGCAATGCAGAGCCATGCAAAGCAATGCAGAGCAATGCAAACCAACATAATGCTGAGCAGCGCAAGACAACGCAAGGCAAAGCAACGCGAAGCAATGCACCACAACGCGAAGCAACGCAGCATAATGCGAAGCAATGCGAAGCAATGCGAAGCAATGCGCAACACTGCATAGCCACGTAGCGCGCTGCATCGCAATTCAAGACTTCTTAACGCAAAGCAGCGTAACGCAACGCGAAGCAATGCGGCGCAAAGCAACGCATTACAAAGCAATCAACTCAATACAAATCAATACGATGCCATTCAGTCCAACGCAAAGCAACGCAGCGCAACGCAATGCAATGCGACGCAATGGGAAGAAATGCGCTACAATGCAAAGCAACGCAAAACAACGCAACGGAGTGCAAAGCAATGCGACACAATTCAACGCAATGCAACGCACATTCAAGGCATTGTAAAGCAATGCGAAGCGGTGCAAAGCAATGCAAAGCAATGCGAGCGAGTGCGAAGCATGTTGCACAGCAGTGCCAAGCAACGCGCACAGCGCAACGCACCGCAAGACCATGGCAGAGCGCTGCAATGCGATTGCGATGCGCAGCTGGGGGGTGCAACGGGGTGGCGCCCGACGCAGGGCTCGAGCGTCCCCGCGCGGATTGATCTCGGCTGCGAGGAGGAGGAGGAGAAGGAGGAGGTGAACGGATCGTGAAAAACTCGTTCGGCGCCCCCCTGGAGGTGATCATCTGAACGGGCACGTCTCTCGCGAGCTGAGACATAGGCCCGATATCGAAAGGATCGAAAGGTGAACGGGGCCGCTGGGCTCTCAGATTTTTTCTGGGGGGGGCAATTGCTGCGGCGATGGCCACGGACGACGAGGCCGCCGGCGCCGTGCACGGGGCAAACCCATGAACGAGAAGCAGGAGCCCCTCAACAATGCAAGCACCGGCTGGGGAAAAGTTTTGGGACAAGCGGCTGGGGCACGCGTGAGACTCGAACCAGTGACCGTTTTCTGATTCGTTTTCTTTGCCGATCGGCGCGAGCCCTCGCACCCCCTCCCCCTCCTCCCCCCCGTGGAGTAGATCTTGGCTGTTTTTGGCACCTGTTTCGAGCAGGTGGAGCCTCTGCCCCATATGTATGCAGCACCGTTCCAAGCAGTCGCACTTTGCAGGGGTCCGGAGCCAGACCCCCCCCTCCTCCCACCCCCTTCCGCCCAATGTCAAAACGCCGAATAAGGAAACGCTCACCAATGTGAAAGACAAAAGAAACATTCCACCGCCTCGGCGCACACGTTGGAAGCAATGCTCGTATCACATCCTCCGCCCCTCGTTTTCCTCTCCCTCATCATCACCACCATCATCATCCGCCGCCTTTTCCTGGTCCTCTTGCTTTACAGCTGTTCTTCTGGGTTCCCAGAATTCCTCAGTGACGAGGGGTGGCTTTTTGAGTTACGCGGCGTGGTCTCACCCCTTTTGACACCCATGTGGAGAGGCGGGGAGAAGGAGCAGGATACCGCGCGCACGTACCCCTTATTGATCTTCCTATCCAAATGCAGACCCAGATCTGTGCCGTGCATCACTGCCGAGGCAAGATCGAGTACACCGAGTGGTTGGCGGCAACTATGAAGGAGCGCCGCCTCGCACCCCCGGTGGAGGACCGAGGGGAGAGAAGGCGGCGGGACTGGCTAGAACGGGACGAGAGGAGACGGGACGGGAGGATTGGGGAGGACGGCTGGAGAGGGGAGAAGGACAGAAGGGGGAGCCCTGACTCCGGATCCGCCCTACTTTGGCTTTTTTCCTATTTAAAACTGCGTCGGAAATCCACTTATAAGAGGCCGAACAAGTAGGGCGGAAATTGCTGCACCCAACATAAAATGGGGCGGAAATCCACAGAAACAGCCACAGAAAAGTAGGGCGGAAATTGGCATCAGCGGGGCTTGAAAAGTATGGCGGAAATTCCAAGCCCTGCTTACGAATTCCCCCCAAGCAGGGCGGATCCGGAGTCAGGGGGGGGAGGACGGCTGGAGAGGGGAGAAGGGCACAAGGGGGAGGGGCCGAATCCACCGGCTCCCATCTCTCCGGCCCAGAGCCCGCTGCCGGCGACCGGCTGCCCGCAGATCCCACCGTGCCTCTCATGGCCGGCGGCGAGGCTGCGCGCTGCTGGTGGCCACGCTCGGGTGCGCGCGGCCCGCGGCCCCTCGCAGCGGAGCCCGGGCCGGCGAGCTCGAGAGCCCCGTGGCCCGCGGGCCCGTGCTGCGCAGCATGTGGCGAGCACGGGCGGGGTGCTGTGCTCGGACGCCGCTGGCCCGTCGCGCGCGGGGGCGCAGTCTCGGGGCCGAGGCGCGGGAACAGCAGGCGGAGCCAGAGGTTGAGTCGGGCCCGTCCCTCTGAAGAAGGAATATGCAAGAATGGTAAAAAAATAGTCTGGGGACGACGTTTTGAACATTGTTGGAGCATGTTGGGTAGATTGTTTGGACTATGTTTTATTGTTCGTCCAAAATCCGCCTGTAGGGGGACACGCCCGACCTAAGGCTGAGGCCATGAAGCCCACGAGCCATCACAGCTCATTGCAGGGTGTCGCGTCTGTGCGGTTCGGCTGCCCCGCTGGGCCCTGGCCTGCGGGAGCAGACGCGCGTGCCCGAGTGGAATTGCCTTCGGGCCAGTGTCGATCATCAGCTACTCATCATTAATAACTACTGGCTGATCTTGCTCCAGGGCTGGACTGGGTTGCCCCTGACCGATGGTCTGCACTAGCATTTTTGGCTCTTCAGTCGTGCTTTGTGGTTCTTTCGCGGTCCCAGCATGGCCCCCTCGTGGTTAAGTACCCGGCGGCCCTCGCCGAGGTAGGCACAGACCCCTCCCCAATCCAACAGCTGGATGGCACTGAGATGGCTGCCGAGGATCACTCGACAAGAGTGTGGCCGTCGTGCCCCAGCAGCCGAGACTCGCAAATATATAGTATATAGCTAAACCATTGCCGTCGACATTTGTCGCAGGCGGCTCTCTATTTCGCTACTCACATACATTCATACATACATACATAAATGCATGCATACATGCATGCATGCATGCATGCATGCATGCATACATGCATAAATGTACATACATAGACACATAATTGTACGGATCTAAGGAGGATCTATATACATAGAAAGCTGTTCCGATACAAGTTCCGGTACGGCCAGGGAGGCTGATTCCGGAGCGCCCCAGGAGGGCCCACGACGGCCCCACATGGCCCCAAGAGGGCCCCGGAGTGCCCCAGGAGGCTTCAGGAGGACCCGACGAGCGCCCCAAGACGGCCGCGATGGGCCCAAGATGGCCAATCGACGGCCCAACGGGCTCCCCAGATGGCCCAAAGGGGCCCGAAGACGACTCCCAAGAGGCCGCCATGAGGCGCAACTTCTGACTTTTCCTCTGGTTCCAGTGACGTTTGCGCATACTCCGTTTCTCGGTCTCCAGAGCGCTCGTGACGGCCGAAGAGGCCCCTGAGACCGTTCCAGGATAACCATTTTGGCACTCAAGAGGGCCCCAAGACGAGCCCAGGACGGCCCAAGAGGGGCCCAAGACTGCCCCAGGCACTCCAAGAGGGCCCCCGGAGGGGCTCCAGACAGTTCAAGAGGGCCCATAGACAGCCCACTTGGGCCCCCAGACCGCCCCAGAACAGCCCCAAGAGGCCCCGAAGATTGCCCTGAGGGGCCAAAACGGCCCCAGAGTTTAAAGATAGCCCAGGGGGCCCCCAAGAAGGCTTGAAAACGGCCTCAAGAGACCCGGAAAAGGGCCCACTCGGGATCTTGCATTAGTACGGCGGCGGTCCGAAAGTGCGTATACACATACATACATACATACATACATACATACATACATACATACATACATACATACATACATACACACATACATACATACATACATACATACCGACAGACAGACAGACAGACAGACAGACAGACAGACAGACAGACAGACAGGCAGGCAGGCAGGCAGACAGACAGACAGACAGACAGACAGACACATACATACATACATACATACATACATACATGCATGCATGCATGCATGCATACATACATACATACATACATACATACATACATACTACATATGCATACATACATACATACATACATACATACAACATACATACCATACATGCAGCAATCCATACATACATACATACATACATACATACATACATACATACATACATACACACACATACATACATACATACATACATACATACATACATACATACATACATACATACATACATACATACATACATACATACATACATACATATATTTACACATGTATACAATACGTTACCGGCTCGCTGCGCTTCGCCTTTAAAATCTTGGTCGCATGGCGTCAGGGAGGCGCGATGAGATCGGTTGTCGTCACAGCCGCGGTGTGCTCTGGCCATGGAGACCATGGAGCAACCAGAGCTGATAGGACCCAGGGAAGATTGCGGCTCAAAGAGCTCAAAAGGGGTCTCTGCCGTCATAGGGCCCAGGGGCTCGGAGCCCCCGTTTCAGGCGAGGGGTAATGCTGCCGATGCGGCTCCAGGGGGTCATGAGACTCAGAGGGTTCACAGGGCTCTTGGGGTTCGTTGGGGTCATGGGACTGTTTGTGCACATCGGGCACGGGGCTCATAATGCTGAGTGGCTTTTACAGAGGTCATGGGGGTCATAGGAGGCTCATGGTGCTTATAAGGGTCGTGGGGCTCCTTGGAGTCATCAGCTCTTGGGGGCCACTGGGTTTATAGAGCTCGCAATGCTCCTGGGGGCCATAGGGCCCATAGCGCTAACAGAGCGCGTAGGCCTCGTAGGGCTCATGGGGCCGAATGTGCCCTCACATGAACCGCACCCCACTGGGAGCTCCACCGACGGTGAAGAGCCAACGTGTGCATGCCGCCTCACCGCTCCACCGACGATGAAGAGCCAACATGTGCATGCCGCCGCACCGTCCATGGCGGCACACCCGTGATCTGGATTATGAGTTGGGGGGGCCCTTCGGGGTCTCGCGGCGTGTGGGGGTGAGAGCTCTGGAGGTGTTAGGGTTCCCAGGCCTCACAGGGCTCAGGGGGCACCATGAGGCACCATAGTGGTCGTAGGGCTTGTGGGGCCGACAGGCCTCATATGGCTGATAGGGGTATGGCCTCTCGGGGCTCTCGTGGGGCTCCTTTTGATGCTCTTTTGGGCTGTCTGGCGGCCCTCCTGGGCCGTCCAGGGGCCCTCTTGGGCCGTCCTGGGGGGCTTGCCCTCTTGGTGCTTCTTGGGGGCCTCCTGCGGCCTTCTTGGGGCTCTCTGGGAAGCCTTTTGGTGCTCTTTGGGGCCGTCTTGGAGCTCTCTTGGGCCGTTTTGGAGCACTTTTGGGCTGTCTTGGGGCTCCCTTGGGGACTTCTTGGGCCGTCCTGGGGTGATCGTGGGGGCCTCTTGGGCCGTCGTGGACGCGGTGAAGGCCAAAGAAACGGATATGCTAAAAATGTACGCTTCCCGACGGGAATGGGACGATTTTGACCTCCTGGGGGTCTTCTTGGGGGCCTCTTGGGGCGTGTTGAGAGCATCTTGGGCCGTCTTGAAGCCACCTTGAGGCCTCTTTGAGCGCTCACGGGACGTTCTGGAGAGCCGTACTCTTTTTGTTTTTATTGTTTTTTTTTTTTTCTACTCTTTTTTTTTTTCTCTTTTTGTTTTTTTTTTTTTTTTTTTTTTTTTTTGGTTGGGTTTCTTTTTTTTATTTTTTTCCCTTTTCTTTTTTTTTACTTTTTTCTTCTATCTTTTTATTTTTTGTTTTTTTTTTTGTTTTGTTTCTTTTGTTGGTTTTGTTTTTTTTTTGACAGAATTTGGGGCTTTTCTCGTTTTTTTTCTTTTTATTTTTTTTTTTTTTTTTTTTTTTCTTTGTTTTTTTTTTTTTTTTTTTTTGTGTTTTTATTTTTTTCTTTTTTTTTTTTTTTTTTTTTTCTTTTTTTTTTTCTGTTTTTTCTTTTTTTTTTTTTTTTTTTTATTTTTTTTTTTTGCTCTTTTTATTTTTTTTTTTTTTTTTTTTATTTTTTTTTTTTTTTTTTTTTTTTATTTTTCTTATCTTTTTTTTTGTTTTTTTTTTTTGTTGTTTTTTTTTTTTTTTTTTTTCTGTGCAACCGTCCGGGATGGCCGGGAAGGGCGTTTTTTTTTCTTTTTATTCTTTTTTTGTATCTTTTTTTTGGTTTTTTATCTTTTTGTTTTTTTCTGTTTTTTGTGTTTTTCTCTGTTGGTTTTTCTTTCTTTTTTTGTTTTTTTTGTTTTTCTCTTACTCTTCCCGAAACAAACTTCGAATCTGAGTGGGAGCGCACGGCCGAAATTATGTACGGGGGGGTCGTTATAAGAATATTCGAGGTCAGGGGGGGTCCGCTATGAGAACATTCGAAGAGGAATCTACACATAGACATATATACATATATATATATATATACATACATGTGTGTCTGTGTGCGTATCTCTCTCTATATATATGTATGTATATACACATATATATATATGTACAAATATGTGCGCAGCACCCCGCAGTTGCGGAGAAAGGTGAAGGGGCGGCGGGGACGTCGACAGTCCGTAAGGCTCTGACGAAGCCCGTCGCATGCGCTTAATTTTGACAGTTTATACAACGAGCTTGAATGTCGAGGGCGCGGCGTTTGAATAAATTGCGGGGTGTCCCACGCGAGAGCGCGATTCTTGTACAACTTGTGAGGAAGTCCCGCGCGAGAGCGCGATTTGGAAATAAATGGTGGGGGAATATCAAGCGGAAGCTGTTGTTCTTGTAGCTCGGGGGCCAAAGGCATGTTTTGGTGGCCCCACACTGTTCCTTGTAAAAAACAGGGTGCGAGCCCCGGAAGAAGCATTTTGATTCAAAAACTACAATTTTTGTTTAGAGTGCCAGAAGGGGGATCCACAATAATTGTTCTTGGGGGAGGAGAACTCAACAATTCAACAACAAAAACAACATCAACAACACCAGCCACAATCATTTTAATATTGTTCGTTCTTATCTGCTCGCGTGCCACTCCACACGTAGATCCCAAGCCCTCGATAACCACCATCTTCGTCTTCGATCGTATCCCATTAAGGGGTCTATCTTTCTTACCTGCAACGTGCATTTCGTGCAGCACCTGAGGCAGGGGAAGAGAGGACGGATAGAAGGAAAGTGCAAGCGGGAGAGAGGAGGATGGAGCACGAGAGAGAGTAGCAGGAGCGGGGCTAGGAGCAGAAAGCACGTGGCAGAACCAGACGGGCAGATCGGGCGGGTAGACCCTAACAGGCGGGCCCAGGCGGCCAGGTCGAGCAGGCGGGTTGCTGAAGCGTGCGTCCTGACTGCATCGCGAGGACGCCTTGAGCGACAGCGCGATTCCAAAATAGATCTCGTCAGGAAATCCCAAGCGAGAGCGTGATTCCTGAGTGTCGAGGGCGCGACGCCTGAATACAGCGCGAGGAAGTATTAGGCGAGAGCGCGATTTTCGATCAGTTGCAAGGAGGTCCCTAGCGTAGCGCGAGCGCGATTCTTCAACACATCGCAGGGAAGTGTCAGGCGGGAGCCGCTGTTGTTGTGAAAAGGGGCCCACGGGCGCAGCTCGAGCAGAGACTGCTCCCCGGTAGAAGCACCGCGAGCCCCGGGAGGGGCACTTAAATTGAAATGGCCCGGACGAAGGACCCAACCATAAGCAGTTGTGGATACCGCGTTCTGGGTCCACATGTCGACCGGCCTCCCCATGAGGCCACGATCCGGGTGAGGGGTCACTTTCTCTTCAAAAGAGGATGCAACACCACAAGTCTGTTTTTGCCGACGCCCGAGTGTCATGGGAAATTTGAGAGTAGTATCCATATTGAATTACTGCGGAGAGGGATTGCTGGAGGAGGAGGACGACGAGAGGGATGAGGAGAAGGAGAAGAAGAAGGCGAACGACGAACAGGACGAGGAAAGCGTAACGGCCGCCACTCAGTTGGAGGGGAGGGTGGGAGAACAGCGTAACCGCCGCCACCCCGAGGATACGAGCCTCCTCCGCCTCCGATCCACATTTACGTACACAGACATACACACATCCACGCACACACGCACACACGCACACACACACACACACACACACACACACACACACGCACACGCACACACTGTTAATCCTCCGTGCTCCCCCGCCGCCCCCGGAGGGCGAAGGAGGAGGAGTAGGAGGAGGAGGAGGAAAAGGAGGAGGAGGAGGAAGAAAAGGAGGAGGAGGAGGAGCAGGAGGAGGAGGAGTCATGGAGGTTCGGGAGGCCTTAGCACTAGTGCGAGAGGCCTTGGGTGGAGCTCCCTCTGGGGCCACGAACCGTGTGAGGGGTGTGCAGACGTGGGCATGCGGTGGGCGGGGTGGACGCATGCGAACCCTGCCACTGGTGCCTCGGGCGCCATGCTCCCTATGGGGCCACGAACCGTGTGAAGGGTGTGCCGAAATAGGCATGCGGTGGGCGGGGTGGATGCATGTGAACGCGGCCACTGGGGCCTCGGGCGCCATGCTCCCTTTGGGGCCGCGAACCGTGAGAAGGGTGTGCCGAAATGGGCATGCGCTGGGCGAGGCTGACGCATGTGAACGCGGCCATAGCATCGTAGCAGGGCGTAGCATTACATGGCATAGCATGGTGTTGAAGATGAACGCGTAGCTTGATGCCCCTAAGTGGGGGGGGGCCTTTGCGGCCCCCAAAATCAACGAATCGGCACCGAATGTGTAATCACTTCCCATGGTTGCCTCGGGGGGCCATTTTCTAGTTTGGGGGTCCTGTTTGGAAGGGCCGAAAACCATGCCGTGGCATGGCGCTGAATAGTGACGCCAGCGCTGCAGCGGGAGCACGATTCGGAACGAGCGGAACCGCGGAAATAAGGCCAGCGCTGCAGCAGGGGCACGATTCGGAATGAGCGGAAGCCCGAAAATGAGGCCGGCTCCTCAGAGAGAGCAGCATTTTGCTTTTAACAAAAAAAAAAAAAACGAAAACCCAATTCGCCGACATCCTGTGTGGAAAAAAATACGCGAGGGGCGGGGGCCAAATAATCCGAGACAAATTCCGCCACAGACTCCGGGGAGAGAGCAGAGCAGCATTCGTGTGGAGTCATCGTGGAGAGGGAGAGGGGAGTGGGGGAGGGGGGGGAGGGGAGGGAGGGAAGGAAGGAGGGAGAGGAGGGAGGGGAGGGGGAGGGGAGGGGAGGGGGAGAGGGGAGGGAGGGCTGGTGTGCCCCTTGGCACCCCCTGCCCTGCCGAGGGGCGCGAGGCCCCCGGCCCGCGGGCCCAACAAAAAGCGGGCCGCCCCGCAGCCGCAGAGCGCCGCCGCGGAGAAGGCGCTGCAGGAGGCCCGGCCGCCCCGGCGCGCGCCGCCGTCTGCTGCGCCGCCCCAGTCTGGCCTTCGGGGGCGGCAGAGATCGGGAAACTATGGGAGGCGGGGGCCTTCGGGGGGCCTTCGGGGGGCCTTCGGGGGCCTTCGGGGGCCTTCGGGGGCCTTCGGGGGGCCTTCGGGGGCCTTCGGGGGGCCTTCGGGGGCCTTCGGGGGCCTTCGGGGGCCTTCGGGGGGCCTTCGGGGGGCCTTCGGGGGCCTTCGGGGGCCTTCGGGGGCCTTCGGGGGCCTCTGGGAAACTATGGGAGGTGGGGGAGAAGACAAGAACCCAGAACAGATGGGGAAGTAGGGGGAATGCTGCTGTTTGTGTCTATTGATTTGTGTGTCCCTGGGCCCCTTCGCTGCACCGGCGCTGGGCCCCTCCCTGGCGCGCGGCGCTCCGCCAGAGGGGCGCTCCGCCAGAGGCGCCGCCAGGCGGGCCCAGCGCTCCGTCCGAGAAAAATCCGCACGGGCCTCCAGAGCTGTGTGCTGATGCCGCTCCTGTGCCTCGTCGGGGGTGGACAGACCTCCTACCCTGACGCGTCGATTAGTGGATTGGCCATTTTCGGCTCGCGAGAGGGCGTCGCGGCCGTCGTTTTGGCGGGTCCAGGTCCGTCGGTTTCGGCCCTAGGTCGTTTTCACTAAAGGGAGGTTTACCAAGGGGGGGGGGTATCATGGCGGGGGCCACGAGATCGCCCCAGATTTCAATGGCGCCTCTTCTTGTTTCATATTACGTCCCTGACCCCCCCCCCCCTGGGCCGCGCACGTGCCGCCGGCCACGATTTGCACCCCCCCCCCTCCTGGACAACCCCCTCTTGGCCGCTCCCGACTCTGCCTCCCCCCGGCATGCTCGCGCCGTGGGCTGGGACGATCGGAACGGGTACGGAAATGTTGGGCACGATGCCCAACAGCAGTTCTTATCAGGCAGTGGCGCAGCGTTGTGGCGTGCCTATATAGGCTTACCAGAGAATGTCCTAAGGACCGTTTGTGGTCTGAACGAAATGTTCTTAGAACATGTCTGGCCGGGGCTGTCTTCTTTAGCGCATCGGGTTTATGTTCTAAGAACATTGTTGTTGTTCTTGGAACTTTTTGGGGTTCTAAGAACATGCCGCGGTAGGCCCACAGAAATGCCGGGACGGTCGGTCCCTGCTCAATCTGATTCATTTGGAACAGGACTCGTTGTCCGTGCCGCCGCGGACGTTGCACACTGAAAGCAGAGCGCCGCTTGCCCAACGGAAGCCGCTGCCGCTTCTGAACAACAGTTGTTGTTGGGCGTTGTGCCGATTTGTCCGTACCCGTTTCGGGCTTCCAGAGTGGGAGAGCTTTTTTGCGTCGGCGGCCAGGCAGGGGACGTCTGCGCTGGCGATGGGTCAGGCCTAAACAGGGATGCCGTCAAAGCGACTTGTGCCACCATGCAAGAGGAGGAGAAGGGGGCAGGCGCGGCCGAAAAAGGGGCAGACGGAGCGAGCGGCTCAGGGGGGGACGGATCGCTCCCAGAGCGAGCGGCGCGGCCCCGCCGTGGAAAAGCACGTGATCGTTTTTGTGATTCAGTGTTTTGCCGAGGGGCGCGGGCCCTCGCACCCCCCCCCTTCTTCCCCCTTTCACAATTACTCAATATGAATACTATTCTCCCTCTTCCCCCGATGGCGGCCTGAAAGTAGCCGCCCCCCCCCCCCGCGTACTGTTTTTTAACACGCAGGATTCCCGGGAGTTGGGTTTTCGCTTGCTTTTTTTTTCAAAATGCTGCTCTCGCTGAGGCGCCGGCTTCATCTCTGCTCCCGAATCGTTCCGAATCGTGCTCCCGTTGCAGCGTGGGCCTCATTTTCGGATCGGTGTTTGGCCTCCGTCGTTCAGGATGGCGTTCTCGCCCCAGCGCGGGCCTCTTTCTCGCGCGCCCATCCGCCCGCCACCACCGCGCCGCACCACCACCACCACCACCACCACCACCACCACCACCCACCACCACCACCACCACCACCACCACCACCACCAACACACCACCACACCACCACACCGCACGCACGCACGCACGTGCACCACCACCCACTACGCACGCGCGCGCGGAGCCACAGGTCCGCTACGACACGCGTCCGCGGATAGAGAAAGTCAGCGCCATGGTAAGGGATGGGAGGGAGGGGTAGGACGTCAGATATGACGCGAGCGCACCTAGCTTGTCCTCCCCCCTCCCCCCCTCTCCTCCCTCTCCTCCCCCAAGGAGTAGATCTTGGCTGTTTTGGGCGCCGGTTTCGAGCAGGTAGAGCCTCCCCCATGCGCGCGCTGGGGAAGCATACCAAGGAAGAGAAAGCCGCGCGAGCATTCTAGGCCTCCCAGATGGGGTCGGAGCAGATGGGGTCGGAGGATCGCGCCGCATCGTCGATGCATCGGCGATGCGGTTCGATGCGGAATTCTGTTTGTTCCACGCCGACGTCGCTGACGCATCGCCGATGCATCGCCGATGCGTCGCGCGTGCATCGCCGATGCATTGACGATGCTGCGCGATCTTTCGACCCCATCTACTCGGTCCACTAGGAGGCCTCTCAAGCCGCACAAACAGACAGACGGTCGGACAAGCCGCACAAACCGACAGACGGTCGGATCGAAAGATCCAGGCCGGTTCGGGGAGGGCACGTGTTCCTTGATGTTCTTCGTGACTGTTGGGATGCTCTCGTGCATCTGGAGGGAGGGTACCCTCGGATGTTCTTCGGCTTGGCCAGCGGAGGGTCTCCTGTTCTTGGATCGACTACACGTATACGTGTAGTCGATCCAAGAACAGTGCGTGTAGTCGACCCGTTTTGGGGCTCTCTCGGACTGCCTGGAAGTCCTTTCGGATGTTTGTGGGGCGATTTGGGAGCCTCCCAGGCGCCCCGAAGACCGCCGTCTTGGAGCGTCGGGAAGCCGAAAAGAGGAGAACCCCCAAATTCACCAAAAACTGATAGAAAATCCATGATTTGTGCCTCTTGAGAGTGCTCTTGGAGGCCTCTTTGTGGCCGTCCTGGAGGCCTCTTGGGCCATCTTGAGGTCACGTCGGTCACTCTTGGAGCGCTCTTGCGCTGTCATGGGGGTCTCTGAGTCGTCTCCGATGATCCCCCTGATCGCCCTAGGTGTGCTGGGAAGGCTTGGCAAAACGCCCTGCGAGGCCAGGGGGGGCTCTTCGAGGCCCGTCCGGAGGGTCCCAATGCCCCAGATCCCGGGAGTCGGGTTTTGGGGCGGGGAGGGTGACGGGTTTTCCCCCCGCCCGGGCTGATAAAAAGATAGGAAGAGGAATATCTCTATATATGTATATATAGAGACATATATAGACATATCTATACATATATGTATATGCATATGCATAGGCATAGGTATATGTATATGTATATGTATATTATATGTATATGTACATGCATATGTATATGTATATGTATATGTATATGTATATGTATATGTATATGTGTATGTATATGTATATGCATAGGTATATGTGTATGTATATGTTTATGTATGTGTATATATACCTATATATATATATACATATATATATATATATATATATATGTGGGGTCCCCCCCCCAAAAAAAACGCACTCCCGGGATCTGGGGCTTTGGGACCCTCTGGACGGGCTCTCTGAGGGCCATCTTGGACCCGTGTTGTGCCGTTTTGGGGCTCTCTTGGACTGCCTGGAAGCCCTTTCGGATGGTTGTGGGGCGATTTGGGAGCCTCCCAGGCGGCTTTGGACGCCCAGAAGACCGCCGTCTTGGAGCGTCGGGAAGCCGAAAAGAGGAGAACCCCCAAATTCACCGACAAACAACAGAACATCAATGATTTTTGCCTCTTGGGGCGTTCTTGGGAGTGCTCTTGGAGGCCTCTTTGGGGCCGTCCTGGAGGCCTCTTGGGCCATCTGGAGGTCACGTCGGTCACTCTTGGAGCGCTCTTGTGCTGTCTTGGGGGTCTCTGGGACGTCTCCGAAGACCCCCTGATCGCCTTAGGTGTGCTGGGAAGGCTTTGCAAAACGCCCTGCGAGGCCCGGGGGACCGCTTCAAGGCCCGTCCAGAGGGTCCCAAAGCCCCAGATCCCGGGAGTCCAGTTTTGGGGGGGGGGGACCCCTTTCGCGTTTCGCCCGGATTGTAAAAATATATACACGGGAGAAAGGGGTCCTTTTGGAGCTCTTTTGGGGCATCTTGGGGCCCTCTTGCGGCTCTTTGGGGGTCTTGGGGTCCTCTTGGCGCTCTTTGGGAGGGGCGCCTGGGAGCCCCCACGGGGCGCCCCCTTGGGGCGCCCTCTTGGGGCTCTCTTGGGGCCCTCTTGGGAGCTGCCGTGCACCGACAAAATGTTGCACCACTTTTGCTGTGCATTGGCGCCTGTACTGCACTGCTCTTGCCCCCCCCCTTCCCCCCGATCTTAACATTGGGTGCGTGGCGAAGAGCCCCTGTTCCACCCGGGGGCTCCCGACAAGATGTTGCACCACCGAGCTGTTTCGGCCAGCCCAGACCGAACCCAATATTGAAATCGGGGGGGATGGGGGGGAACAAACGATTGATGTAACAGCGATGCTATTTATTGTCAGCGCCAGGTGGTGCAACATCTTGTCGATGTACCGTATGGAGCGCCTCCTACAACCCTCGTCAAAATTAACTTCAAGAATGTATTACGTGGCTGAACTGTTTGCGGAGAGATTCTGGACAGAGTAGCGGTGATTGCGAGGTACTTGTACGCGCCGCCCCTCCAATGTCGGTCATCATCGAACTTCCGAGTCGTTCCCGGTCAGACCTTTTTTGCCTTGGCCCCGACATTGGAGGGGCGTCTATCGGCATTGAAGGGCGCGCCGACATCGCAGGGGCGCGGTCGACATTTCTGAGGTTCATTTTGACGAGGGTCGTAGATTTCCCTACCCCCTCCGGGGTCATCGAAGTAGCCTCTTGGGGCGCTCTTGGGTACCTCTTGGGGCGATCTTCGGCGCTCTTGGGGCAGTCTTGGGGGCCTCTTGGGCCCTTCTTGGAGCTCTCTTGGGCCATCTTAGGGCCATCTTGAGGCCTCAAGAGCGCATCGGAAGCGAAAAGGCGAAAAGGTAACAATTAGTGTTTTTCTTTAGGTTTTTGAAGGATTTGGGCTTCTCGGGGAGGCCCTGAGGGGTCGCCAAAAGCGTCTTGTGGCCCTTTTGGGGCCTCTTGGATGCATGTTGTCAGCTATATTGAGCCGTGTTGGGCTAGCTTGAGCAATCTTGGAGGCCATCTTGGGCTCTCTGAGGCCCTCTTGGAACCATCTCAGGCTATCTTGGACGCCCTGACCGCGCTCGCGAACCCCCCCGTCCAGGTCGAGGGGAGGGGGACGGGGGAGGGGCAAACCCTTCCCCGCAGGGGAAGAATGGTTTTTCGAAGAGGACAAACAGACATCTTTAGAACACCTGCGCCCAGAAGGCTGGTGGGACTTCGTATCCCCCGATGGCTCCAGAGACCAACCGAAGTTCTGGTAACTTGGGACCCTCGAAGTCCGACGTCGAATGTGCCGCAGGACTTCTTATCTAAAGTCCACCGCCTCTGCCATTGGTCGAAGGCCGCCGCCTCGCTCGTCGAGCCCCGGGAGCCATGCAGGTGATAGCTCGCACGCGCATATCCAGTGAGGCGGCGCCCATGTCATCTTGTGGCTGCTGCCGCCTCTTCCAGGAGGAGAGTGTGAGGAGGAAAGCGGAGGCGGAGGAGGAGGCGGAGGAGGAGGAGGAACAGGAGGAGAGCCCACGAATGAGATGAGGAGGAGGAGGACGAAGAGGAGGACGAAGAGGAGGAGGACTATCAACAGGAGGAGGAGGGCGAGGAGGAGGATAATCATTTTCAAGAGGAGGATGTGGAGGAGGACGAGGAGGAGGAAGATGAGGAAGAGGAGCAGGATGAGGAGCCCCGAGGAGGAGGAACAAGGATGTGTATCTCTCCCCACCCTCTTCCTCCTCCTCCTCGTCCTTCCCCTCCTCCTCCTCCTCCTCCTTCTCCTCTCCCTCCTCCTTATGTTCGTTTCCTAGCCCTCTGCCTCCTGCGCCTGGCCCTTCTAGCCGACAGTGTGCACTCTTATGGAAGCGCGTTGCTCGTGCTCGTCATGGCTGTAATACTGTGCGGTGCATGGCAATGGAGGTGCACTTCCCGTAGGCTGAGGGAAGTACCCCGTTGGAAAAATAACATTGGAAATCCGGAACCGTGCTGGGACCGCACTTATTGAGGTGAGCCCGAAAAGCAGAAGAGGGAAGATCCCCAGAAGGATGAGGAGAAGGATGACGATAATGAGGACCAGAAATCCGGGCAAATGCCGGGAGGGAGAAGATATCACAGGTGTAAGAGGAGAAGACGACGATGACGAGGATCAGGAGTCCGAGGCGGAGGAGGAGAATGAGGGGAGCGATGAGGCGGGGGACTCGCAGGAGTGAGAGGATGGGGAGGCGGACGGTGAGATGGACCACTAGCTAGACCGACAAGGCGGAGGACTGTGAGGCGGAGTTGGAGTAGGAAGAGGCGGACGATGGCGAAACCGATAAGGATGACGTGCATGAGTAGGCATCGGTTGAGGCTGGTGATGAACGACAGGAGGAGGACAATCATGAGAAGGAGGAGGAGCAGGAGGTAGATCGGGAGGAGGAGGGAAAGAGGAGGAACATCCCAGAGCACGACGAGGGTCCTGATGGACAGGAGCAGGGACGGAAGGAGGACGACGAGCATCGCGCGGTCCGGCACCACACGACCCGGAGAGGTCTTCCAGTTCTTGGACATGGACAACTCGGGGCGCATCTCGCGCGCCGAGCTGTGCCAGGCGCCGCAGAGGGGGGGACCCCTGGGGCCAGCAGCGAGGCCCACGGCGGGGCAGCGGCCGAGCCTGCATTCCAGAGGTCAGTCGGGCACGTCCCTCACAGGAGGAATAGTCAAGAAAGTCAAAAAATAGTCTGGGGACGAGGTTTGTACTATTTTAGACTCTGCTTGAGTATCGTTTGCTCGTTCATCTTTTGATGTTCTAGCATTTTTTGACTATGTTTCGCTCTTTCTCTCAAATCCGCCTGTCCCGGCTTGGGCGCAGGATCTTGCATCATCCAGCAGGATCTTGCGGAATCCCACCAAGGCCCGACCGACCCGGTTTGGGATTGACCCAGGCCAGTAGATCCCCGAAGTGAAATTACTCAGGATGCAAACATGGCCCCGGGGAAAAGGGTCGGGCCTTCTGGGGACCCCGTGCCGAACAAAGATGCAACCATGCATCGGGTCGCTCCGGGGCGCTGGGCGAGCTCGGCTCGGGGCGAGGCCACTCCCGGGCGAGTTCGGCACGGGCCGCGCGGCCCCCCCTGTCCTAGGGGCTAGTCGGGGGCCACGGCACTCACCGCCCTACTTTGTTTTTTTTCCCAACTTAAAATTGCGTCGGAAACCCACCTATATGAGGCCGAAAAAGTAGGGCGGAAATTCCTGCACCCAGCATCAAGTAGGGCGGAAATCCACAGAAGTAGGGCAGAAACAGCAGCAGAAAAGTAGGGCGGAAATTGGCATCAGCGGGGCTTGAAAAGTAAGGCGGAAATGCCAAGCCCCACTTACGAATTTCCCCAAAGTAGGGCGGATCCGGAGTCCGGGCGGGCCTCCTGGGGACCCCGTGCCGAACAACGATGCAACCGTGCATCGGGTCGCTCCGGGGCGCTGGGCGAGCTCGGCTCGGGGCGAGGCCACTCCCGGGCGAGTTCGGGCCGGGCCGCGCAGCCCTCCTCCTCCTCCTCCTCCTCCTCCTCCTCCTCCTCCCTCCTCCTCCTCCTCCTCTTCCTCCTCCTCCTCCTCCTCCTCCTCCTCCTCCTGTCCCTGTCCTCTAGGGGCTGGTCGGGGGCCACGGCACGCACAGGGCCGGGGCTCTCTCGAGGCGCCGGGGGCCGTCGGCTGCGAGGCACTTCCCGGACTCCGGATCCGCCCTACTTTGGGGAAATTCGTAAGTGGAATTCGTAAGGGGGAGGAGGAGGAGGAGGAGGAGGAGGAGGAGGAGGAGGAGGAGGAGGAGGAGGAGGAGGAGGAGGAGAGGAGGAGAGGGAGGAGGAGGAGGAGAGGAGGAGAGGAGGAGGGAGGAGGAGGGGAGAGGAGGAGGAGGAGGAGAGGAGGAGGAGGAGGAGGAGGAGGAGGAGGAGGAGGAGGAGGAGGGAGGGAGGAGGAGGAGGAGGAGGAGGAGGAGGAGGAGGAGGAGAGGAGGAGGAGGAGGAGGAGGAGGAGGAGGAGGAGGAGGAGGAGGAGGAGGAGGAGGAGGAGGGCTGCGCGGCCCGGCCCGAACTCGCCCGGGAGTGGCCTCGCCCCGAGCCGAGCTCGCCCAGCGCCCCGGAGCGACCCGATGCACGGTTGCATCGTTGTTCGGCACGGGGTCCCCAGGAGGCCCGCCCGGACTCCGGATCCGCCCTACTTTGGGGAAATTCGTAAGTGGGGCTTGGTATTTCCGCCTTACTTTTCAAGTCCCGCTGATGCCAATTTCCGCCCCACTTTTCTGTTGCTGTTTCTGCGGGTTTCCGCCCCATTTTATGTTGGGTGCAGCAATTTCCGCCCTACTTTTTCGGCTCATTCTAGGCGGATGTCCGACGCAATTTTAAGTTGGGAAAAAAGCCAAAGTAGGGCGGATCCGGAGTCAGGGTTGAGTCCCTGCGGATTTTCTCCTGTCCGTGGTGCTGGCCCTTCGGGGGGGGGGGATGGGTCGGGGAAGCGTAAGACTCGGGTCAGCCGGAACTCGGGTCTGCCGACTTCTTTTTGAAGAGCGCGTCCTGAATCTTGACGGTCCCGTTTTCGTGGGAGGTCTGCAGTGGGAGCCCGCGTCAGATTTCAGATTGGGCCTCGTCATCTTTATGATGGCCCCCGCCAGGCCAACCCGAGTCCCCCGTACCCGAGTCTTACGTCTCCCCGAATGGGGTCTCTGGCTCGGCGGCGCGGCGAAGGGCGGCACGGAGGCACGGCGGGGATAACTATAGGCGCACGCCGCGAGTGCTCCGGGGTCCATGCTGCACGGTTCGAGGCGGTCGCGGTTCTCCGCCCTCCTCGCGTCGTGCGGGGCCGTCGCGTGGGCCGCTGCGGTCTGTCGTCTCGTAAGCTCTTTTTTGTTTCCTTTGTTTTATGCGCGCATGTGTGCTGGTGTGCGGGGTCTTCAGCCAGCTAAGGCTGCCCCAGCCCCCTTTTTCTGTATCTCCCCCCTCTCTCTATATGTATACACATACTTCCATACATATAAACATATACATACATACATACATACATACATACATACATACATACATACATACATACATACATACATACATACATACATACATACATACATACATACATACATATATACATACATACATGCATGCATGCATACATACATACATACATACATACATACATGCACACATACATACATACATACATACATACATACATACATATATACATACATACACACTTACATACATACATACATGCATACATCCATACATACACATACATACATACATGCATACCTACCTATCTACCTACCTACCTACCTTTCTACCTGCCTACATACATACATACATGCATACACACGTACACACATAAATACATACCTACATACATACATACATGCATGCATGCATGCATGCATGCATGCATGCAGACATACATACAAATGTGCATGCATGCATCCATACATGCATACACACGTACATACATGCATGCATACATACATTCATGCATGCACGTATGCATACATACATACATACATACATACATACACACACAACCATACATATATACATACATACATACATACATACATACATACATACAGACAGACAGACAGACAGACAGACAGACATACATACATACATACATACACACAACCATACATATATACATACATACATACATACATACATACATACATGCATACATACATACATACATACATACATACATACACAAACATACATACATACATACATACATACATGCATGCATGCATACATACATACATACATGTATGCATACATACATACGTACGTACGTACATACATACATACATACATACATACAGAGATACATACATACACGGTTGAAGCGGTCCGCCCATTCCGATGAAGAAAGAGAGGGAGAGCCCCGGCAAGAACACTTGCCAGCTCTGGGGTCAAAGACCAGGTTTTAGAAGAGAGGCTGGGGTGATGCAGCGTGCGACCGTCGAGCCCCGTTCCACGATGCTTGTGGAGTCGATGATTCTGGCCACGTGCCCAGGAGAGTGCTTGTGTAGCCACGCGGAAGATATTTCCGTGCCGATTTCTGCCCAATTTGTTGGGAACCAAGATGGGAAACACCAGTGAAGATCCAAGATCGGCCCCAGGACCAGGGCAGATCTAGAGGTCGCGCAGGCCGGACTCCCATCAACGTCCCAGACCATTTCCAGAATCATTGGGTAATTTGCCGCGATGTTGCGACAAAGGCGATACCGAGTTGGCCGCGGAGGGGCCCAAAGGCGGCGCGCCAGAGGGGTCCTGGAGGGAATCACGGGAGGCACGGGGGGGGGGGGGTCGTCTTGAGCGCATCCGTTCGAGCCGTGTTGGTGCCGTCTTGGTCCATCTTCGGGGCTTCTCTTTGGCGTCTCGGGACCGCTCCATCTGGGGGTCCGCTGCGGTGTTTTTTGTGTGTGGTTGCCTGGAGTGCGTATTGGAGCAGCCTTGGGCTGTTCTCGGTACGCCTGGCAGCTGTCTCGGGGCCGGGGGCTCCCGGGGAACCTCCAGGCGCTCCTGGTCGAACCTGAGAGCCACAGGAGACCGTATGCTCGAGCACTTGCGAGCCTGCTCGGAGAGTGGGAAGACATTTCACAAAGGAAGATGTGTATCGGTTGCGTTAGTGCTTGGATAAAGCGAACAGGTGCGCTCAGCAGGTGCATCACTGCTTTGTGCGTTAGTCGGGCTCGTGGATGGCAACGTGGCGTGCGAGTTGGCGCGGACGGTTGCTGTCAGACGCGCGACGATATGGCGTCCCCGAAGGCGACTGCTGAGTTCGCCGACGGCTGGTTTTGCCCAGCTGGTTTCGCCGCCCGGCGAAACCAGCTCCGTGGGCAAAACCAGCTCCGTCGGCGAAACCAGCTGCCGTCGGCGAAACCAGCTGCCGTCGGCGAAACTGCCCGATCCGACCCGCCCGCTAGGATCCACCCGCCCGACCCGACCCGCCCGTTAGTGTTCGCGCGTGCTCGGTCGAGCGTGCCCCCCACACTTTAATGTCCCGCCCGCCCGCCCGACCCGCCCGTTAGGGTCCGCCCGCCCGGCCCGACTCGACCCGCCCACTAGGGTCCGCCCGCCCGACCCCACCCGCAAGTTAGGGTTCGCGCGTGCTCGGTCGAGCGCGCCCCGCATTTTATCAATGTCCCGCCCGCCCGACCCGACCCGCCCGTTAGGGTCCGCCCGCCCGACCGGACTCGACCCGCCCAGTAGGATCCGCCCGCCCGACCCGACCCGCCCATTAGGGTCCGCCCGCCCGACCCGACCCGACCCGCCCGCTAGGGTCCACCCGCCCGACCCGACCCGCCCGTTAGGGCTCGCGCATGCTCGGTCGAGCGCGCCCCATAGTTTAACGTCCCGCCCGCCCCACCCGACCCGCCCGTTAGGGTCCGCCGCCCGATCCGACCCGTCCCGCCCGCTAGGGCCCGCCCGCCCGACCCCACCCGCCCGTTAGGGTTCGCGCGTGCTCGGTCGAATGCGCCCCGCACTTTCATGTCACGCCCGCCCGACCCGACCCGCCCGTTAGGGTCCGCCCGACCCGACCCGACACGCCCGCGTCCGCCCGCCCGAGCCG